TGACATATATTAATTAATGATCAGTTTTGTCTCCTGATTCTATGTTTTATCTCCTCATCACTTTCCGGCTACAATCCGAGAATCCAAACGACACAGGAATTGTGGTAATTTCATTATGATCTTCAAAGTAATAAACCACCTCAGCTGGACTACCAAATTTAGACTTACAACCGCATCGATTTTTTTTTTTTTTTTTGAATAAAATCAGGTAAGAAACAATGTTACCACAATTCTCATACACAAATGTTTCTAATCAAATAATATTTTAAAGCATGAAAATACTTGAGATTGATATCTGTGAAATCCGAATAAGTTTATATGTAAGAAAATAGATAATAAATCTAGAGAAAAATGTCATTTTAACATAATGTAGATCTTCTCCATCCAACAGTCCAATAGGGTATATCTCCATCCAACAGTCCAATAGGGTATAACTCATCTACGAAATGAAATTTTTTGGAGAATATCAAAAGTAGGACCAAAAAAAATGTAAAACTCTTTAAAGAAAAAAAAATATCTACTTTACTTTTTCATACAACTAACAATTAAGGACACCATTAAGGGATGAGGTTTATTAGTAGGTACCGTTTTCTAGTTAGTGAAAATTTATAGAATTCAAAAAGATAAGGTAAATGCTAATGATGGCTACCATAGTTCATAAACCATAATGTTTGATAATTTCCATTGGAGTTTCTAATTAAATACTTTGCTTTATCTCACTCAATTAGTAGAAAACATAAAAGAAATGCATTAGTCATTTCAAACACAAAATCAAGATATAGAATTTTTTAGAAAACAAAAATAACTTCTCAGTATATAGGTTCTTACATGGTGATTTTGTTGCTTTTCATTTTTCAGTAATTCATACATTTTCCATGTACGTTGTTATTCTCATTTTCCTTTCATAAGAGAAGCTTTTCGGATGAGTTCATATGTATAAGCAAATAGACAATAAATCTAGTGAAAAATGTCATTTTAACATAATGTAGATTTTCTCCATTCAACAGTCCAATTAGTGAAAATTTATAGAATTCAAGAAGATAAGGTAAATGCTAACTATGTCTACTATAGTTCATGAACCCCAATGTTTGATAATTTCTTTTGGAGTTTCTAATGAAACACTCAGCTTTATATCTTATTCAAATTGAAGTAAACATAGAAGAAATTCATTAGCCATTTCAAACACATAAAGTCAGGATATAGAATTGTTTAAAAAACAAAAGTAACTTCTCAGTATAGGTTCTTGTTGATTTTTCTACCCCTCATTTTTCAGCAATTCATATATTTTCCATGTATGTTTGTGTATTCTCATTTTCCTTTCATTAGAGAAGCAAAATTCCTTTTAGTAATTTAATTTTTTTTAATGAAATCAAAATAGTGATAAAAAATATACCAATAAAAAGGACATTTAAGATGCAATAATAGTGCCAAGATCTGATGTCAGATCATTCCCCAACATCCTCTAAAGTTCCTTTTCTGTTCTTCAATTATTTACTTTCTCGGTTATTTTTATTTAGAAATGAACCTTGCTAATCTAATTTGAGTAAGGCTGCGTACGAGAACTTCACTCCCTCCCTCTAAGATCCCAAACAGCAAGATCTTTTTGCTTTTATCAAATATCTTCTAGAATAATAAGCATCTATAATTTTTTAGTCAGAAGTATAAAATTTTCATCATGTGATTATATAAAGAGAAAAATATCAAATCTAAAATCAAGTAGAGACTAACTGGAAGAGAGATAAGTATCTTACCTGTATCACGAACCATCTGCTGGATCAGCTCTGTAGATTCCTATAGAGGCTGCAACCAGAGCTCAATTGAAGCTCTTCCCAGGGACCTTTCCATTGGCACCTAAGAACCTATCGTGTGCTTCCATAGCAAATTTAATGCTCTTCTGTAACAACTCTTGCTTCTTCAATTGATAGTCCTCGGGAAAGGAACCCAGAAATTATAGCCTGAATAGATGATACCAACAAACCAATCAAATGCTTCTCTTGTCCATTAAATTGTTCACAACAAAACATTAAGCAGAGCAGACAATCTTCAAAATTTCTTCCACTGACTTAAGTAGACAATTTAAACATAAAATAGGACTTTATGAAAATACCAATTAGTTCAAAATTTTCTTAAGGCCACAATCCAACCCTCTGAAAAATGGTTAAAAAATCATTACACAGGAAATTAAAGAAAGGAATCTATATCACCCCTAACCCCTCACCTCCCTTGAATCCAATCTTATCCCATTACTCGTACTAAAACCAGAGATTGATGAAATCTTTGCATGCAGTGACCTCTCTGTCCATCTGCTCTGATCATCTTTCCTTAGAAGGAAATATAACAGAAATAAGGAAGAGAATCAGAGAATCAAGATGAAGACAATAGAAACTCATCACCAAATAAAAATTGAAACAAAATCCACTTGATTGCAAAGAAAACTAGGGTATTTGTTGCTGAAAGCTTCAAAAGACACATTATACAATGTAGTCCCAAAATTTTCAGGGGTTTTGGATAAATTTCTATTCTTGAAACGGAAAACCAAGAGGGATTCTAGAAATTACCATTAAAATTGGGTTCGTCAGAGTTTAAATCAAACAGGGATAAATTTTCTTTGCTAAGAAACACAGCAGGATGCATTCATTTAAACCCAAAGCATCTGATTTATAAAATAAAATGAATAAGATAAAAAGCAGTAAAACACAGTGAACCCAAATACATTATTTTAAACAAAGGAGATATTAGATCTTCTCATGATAGTGATTAGACACAGTCCAAAGCAGACAAATCAATCTATATAAAAGCAATGCATCACCACTCAATCTATATAAAAACAATGCATCACCTCTTGCCACTACCCTTCACCGCTGCATCCACAAAAGAGTAAAGGAGACCTGAAATTGAATTCAGAAAAATAAGAAATTAAACAAAAATGAAATCAAAGATAAAAGCAAGAGAAGAGAAAGACCTGATATTGCTTTGAGTACAGCATCCTGAGGCAAATCATTTCTGATCTTCTTGCCTTTTTCTCTGTTGCTCATGCATTTTCTTCAAATGAAATTTCAATTGTTTGTTCAGATGTAAATGCCACGGTGCTCATCAGGTGATATACCTTTGAACCTTCTCTGTGAAATGTATATTGAATTTAGAAATAGTAATTGAATTCAGCATGTGCTTGGTTTTCCTCCTACCTGGCATTATGGAAACTATACCATTCTTAGGAGGACCAAATAAAGAAAAAGATGTAAAGCTTTTTTCATGTAATTGAGTGCTCAAGACACATTTTAAACCCCAAAAGTAATTAATTAAAGGAGAGACTCTTCAACAAATCTAAATGTCAATTGAAAACTTTAATAAAAAGCATCCTTTTTCCAGTCTGGACTGGTTGAAAAACCACCAGTCCAGGCATGAAATTAGAAGTTTGCCTCCCATTTCTTCTCTTTCTCTTGTCATGCATTAGTGGAAAACTCGACATTCTATGTCTTGGGTTAAGCCAGTCCAAACAAAAAGGATTCTCCGTAATAAGTTATAGTACCACTCTAGGAATCATGTAAACTCTTAGGATAAGATATTTGAGAATCATCCAAGGTCAAAGATCAGTGTTGTTAAAGGCAAAAGGCAAGGCGAAGCGATGAAGCAAGAAGCGAAGCGATCACTTCTTTGGAGTGAAGCAAGTAACACTTTGAAGTGATCAGTTATTAAATAGAATAGAACCAATTAGAATAGAAACTTAAGAGTATTAAGAGTGGAAAAGTAGACTATGGTGCAAGTAACAGCTTTAAATTAAATTCTACTTTACTAAGTGCAAGTAGAGTTAAATTCTGTTTTGGAATTAAAATTCAAGAGTCTTATAAAGTGAAAAATTGATTATTTCAATCTATACCAAACAGATGATATTAAGTTTCTTAATCAAGGTCTCCT